TTAAGCTTATAAGAACTAAAAGATGTTCATTTGTACGTATATCTAAAATAACGCGAATCTGCAGAACAGCTAATTTCGTCGAAATTACATTCCGAGGTATTGCTATCGAAATAATTGCTTAACTGTATTAAAACTTGCATACCAAAAATTGACTAAATTTCCGAATATATTTGCATTGCCAAAAATTACATAATATATTTGTTAAATATCTAATATACTTACAAATATATATTTAGAAAATAAATTCTAAATAAGAGTTAAACCAATTCTGTTTACAGTCTGCATATAAATTAATGTGGAACTTTTCTGCTATAATAATATGATGATCTCTTGAAACTTGAAATAATCAAGAAATGTTTTTCTGCAATGTACACGTAATAAAAAAATGTGTCATCTAGAACAAACGCTACTGGCTATTGCTTTCAAGTTTGCAAATTGTACGTCATCGAATGATCGATCCGCAATCATGTACAATCTTATCCTAGCCATTTTCAGCCGTGTTATTCGGCCGCGCGTGGGAATTTCTCTTCCAGAGAAAATCACCGCGAAGGTCCCACCTGAAAAAGGGCGTTCTCACGCGAAGCGCGAGCTCGAGTGGTTGCTAACATTGGACATTTTCTAGAACGGCGACCTCGATCCCCGCATATACCGCGTTCCGCTAGAGCGGAAGCGTCGTTTAATACGTACGAGATCGTTTCTGCGAAAATGTCCTATCGGGGGTGAGGCGACCCGACGAGGGGCTAAACGTGCAATAGCTGTCACATGCTAAACGGTCAGTGTAATATGGTAATCCTGCGTGGTAATTCGCGAGGAAACAAGCAATTATAGTGCCCAACACTGTTTGTTAATCGAGTTCCCGTTTTCTTTCGTAGCTCGTTCACTCGTGCAACGTTTATCACTCGAATCACCATAATTTCGCCATAAATAGACAGAATTATTTTAATATCGTTGCATGCGATGGTCACCGAAAGTAGAAAGAAGTAAACTCGCGGTGTATTTGAGAAAGGATCCAAATAACAGTGGTTTATCAAGGTAAACATCTTAACGGACCGCGGTGGTGTAATTTGGGTGATTTACGAGGTATTTTAATACGGGATTCTCTTGATCTCGCCAAGCGAGAGAAGAGTCGGATAATTTAATCAACTGCACCGCCTTAATTACAGAAATTTTGAAGAAACGATAGAGGGATAATAATAATAATAATTTAAGTCTCTTTAATCGATAGCTCTTTAATCAGCTTGCTAACAAATTATCTATAGTCACTAGTCCATAAGAAATAAAATCTATTTCTGACATCACAGAAATACGTGTCTCATTCATCTAAGTCTCAGGTACATCTTGACTCAGGTACATCAAGTATGTCTCTTTAATCGATGTAATTAGCTTACTAATAAGTTACCTAATAACGGTACTAGTTAAACAGGATAAAGATAAAATCTTATTCGAAAAGACGCAAGAAATAGATAAAAATTGAGAGAACTAGACTATCTTTCGAACGCAACTTCCGCACTTGCATATTTGAATTATTCTGTTTTCCCCCTTCACTTGCATAAATTGTGATTTTAATTATATGCACTTCCTATCCATAGATTTTTCATTCTTTATCAAAAGTCTAATAAAATTCTACGACACACGGTGAAAGCCGGTCCTCCGTTCCAATTCTAGTTATCAATTTATATTACATTGCTCTTTTATAATAAACATTAAGGTTATTGGGAATGAAAAGCGATTGATGGCCTGAATGTAAGTGTCCGCAAAGTAGGTCCGCGCTTTTCAACAAGCAAGATATTTGCCATTTGATCGTCACATATGTACAGCTAATTACATTTTCCCTCTGTGCGTACTGCACACATGAAGAACGTAAGAGGAACATAAGTAAAATTGTTTTATTAATTCCACACTTGACGATTATTTTTATTATCCCCCGTCGGAGTCTATATAAATAATAAATCTTGGAATATCTTATAGATTTTTTATGTTTCTGCAGCATCCATAACAATGTTTCATCACAATTCAATTTTCAAATACTCAACATGACGTTGTAGTACTCTGCGACATAAAATTTATATAAGCCAATTGCTGTTTGTGATTTTAGAAAAGATTACCGTGTCTCACGCAAGATTGATTGCCGTGTCACGCACGCTTTAATAAGCGCGTCTTATAAACGCAGGACTTTTATATTAAATGAAAACCATTACATTTAGTTTATGACGTATGCTATATAAGCTTAATAAATTTTACGGAGCAAGACGGTTTCTTTAAAAGTCATGCAGCTGTTGAAATTACGTAGACAGATATATGCGAAGAAGCTGCTCCAGATACGTCAAGAATAACGTTTGTATCGCGTAAATCGTTAAATATGATATTCTCCAGGAAATTAAGAAATCTCTAATGCAACGAGAAAGCGCTCTCTTTCCTGTCGTAAGAAAATATTCGCGAACGATATTGAACGCGCGTTGTAATAGCTTTATATATTGCTTGCGCTCTTCGCGAAAATAAATGTAATTAACCGAGGGATTAAACGTTAAATAATCCACTTGACGCAAAACGTTTATCCGTAACGTAACGTATGCTGCAACGAGAAGATTAGAGGAGTAGACCCTCGGCAGCGCCCATCGCGCGTTCCGTAACGCGAGGTGATTCAGTCTTCAAACGATCTGATTAGAAGAGGAGCGCGTACGCATACTGGCCGCATGTATAATTAGGGTAACAATTATGATTACGGTAAACGCGCACGCGGTTGCCCCGAGTTAACGCGCCGCGTCGTTTAGCGTAACGACGCGACGTCTTTCCTTCGCGGAGTTTACGACCGATTAAGTATAGATTAGCGTAAAACTTACGAGTCTCATAAATAATTAAAAAAAACACGTCCGTTTCGTACACTGTTAAATATTAAAAGATTAAATTTAAACCAATACCTTTAAGGTAAAATAACCTTTTTTTATTTTTAACTACCATGTGAGTCGAAATTTATTATTTTAATACAAAACAATATTATTTTAACTTCACTGATTTCGTTAAATTAACATTGTTTCAGTAAATGACATATTGAATAAGAGCAGTGGCGACCTATAGAAGTGCTTAAAAATGACTCAAATTGACTATAATTTGACACTAAGAACTTAATAGTGTGATACACATAATAAGGCACGATTTCTGCGAATGTGTGATTCCGTGAAAAATCATATAAATTAAATTAAATTAATTTATTAAATAAATGTGCATTAAACAAAAGATAAAGTAAATTATTTAAATAAAAAATACTCTAAAATCTTGCTACTTTTTTACAAGAGAAATATCTCGGATGTCGACACGCGCACCAGCGCGTTCGTCACTGAATACTCGGAAATTAAATATATATTCCTGGCACGAACGTAGATGAGATTAGTTTTTTCCGCGCTTGAAAACAGAATCAACGTTACAAAAAAAAAGGCTAAAATAAACTTGGAAATTTATAACGCTTGAAAAATTATGACATCGTTTCTCCGCGAAAAACGTGAGAGAAACTACGCATCTCGGTTCCTTCCGAGATGATATTCCCGAGTTGAAAAACCCCGTTCCAACTATATCGCGTATGTCATAAATCATCTTGGACACTCTTATAATACCTTATGGCAGTGGTATACTGCCTGCTAATTTCACGGAATAGCCCATGCCATTGCCAATCAACGATGAAATGTAATGTGTATGAAATTATGAAGAGGATATTATACGAAGCGTAAGGACCGGAGTGGAAGATAGTAATAAAAGTGAATATAGTTGAGCGGAAGGTAAACGATATTGCGGTATCTCGTAGTGCCGGAATAATGGCCTCTAAATTTCGCCTTTTATCTCATCGCGAGTCAAGTGCGGTCGAAGTTTATTGCGAAAGTTTAGTGCGCACGATTTAGAAGAGGGTTGCGTTTATTAATTGGAGCGCAACTCCCGCAAGGAAAAAGTCCAGTGTATTAGGATATATATTCAACCGGAGGCTTTTTATAATCTGAGGATATTTAACAAATTTATTTCAATTTCTTTTTCTATTATGTTGATTCTACTTATGCCTCACAATAGACACGTAAAAAATTGTTCAATTCTCGAAGTTTTCTTAGCAATATGTGTGCATCTTGACAAGCTTTGAGGTTTTTAAAAATTTCTCGTGTAACTCTGTTAGGCAATTACCTCAAAATATCATATCCTTTTACACACATAATTTTAAATGACAAAATATTTATATATAAATAACTTTATATACATATACACATGGTTAATTCAGGACTGCAGTTACACCGTAATATAATCGCTGATGAATGTAATCAGGCGTTGAAGATGCGGCCGCATTTGCATAACAAGAAGAATTACGTACGAGAACGACGAGAATTAAAGTGCGAAGAGGATGGTGTTAAATTTCCGGTTGCGTGCCGTTTGCTTAATGAGGTAACGGGTCACAAACTTCCAAATTGCCTTTTAAAAATGGTAACGGAAGTCTCTCACCTCCCTCGGACGAGATGGGCTTGTCACGAATAAACGAAACTATTATTTTTGCCGTTCTACTTTTGGACGTTTGAGACATGGCCCGGAACATCCGCTACATTATACCAGAATTCGTGAGTTTGACAGGATAATGAATGTGCTACTTTTTTAAATATGTGCACTATCTATAATCTATATAAAAAACATTAAATTAGATCATTATTGGATAACCAAAAATTTGCAAATTTCTAACAAAATTAAAGTAGATTTTTCCATAACCAAAATGTTGAGCGTCAATGGTTTTCATAGTTAAAAAATTAAATGTTAAATGTTCTGATAAGAAATTAAAACTAGAAAGCTTTTCGTGAAATAAGCGGCAAAATAAGTTTTAACAAAATAATAGGAAAACTAAGTAGCAAAATTAAAAATCATATTGACAAGAATTATTAGTAAAAAAAAGTAAGTTAATGAATAATATAATGTGCATGTCATCAAGTATATAAAAAATGCGAAGGTATCAAAGCAATTTATAAATAAAAACGAGAACATTTAAATGACAAATATTCTGTGACTTAAGTTTATTTATTTACACGTAAATATATTATATATGTATATATATTATATATCACTGTCTCTTGTCGCGTTATAACTTTTTTGACATTTACATGTAAATCAGCTATATATATTCTCTTCTATTCTCATCGCTCTCGCTAAAGCGGCCCATGAACAATATTATTACATAATATTTCCATATTATATAATAATATTGTTTATTTGATATAAATGATATCAATGATATATTAATTATATCAATTATGTCGATATCATATGATGTCAATTATATCACTGTTATTGATACAATAAAATTGCATCAATATTTGATTGATTACGTATAAAAGCCGCGTAACACAGATTTAAAAACATGGACATTTTTATTAGTATTTTCTTCTCCAACATTTGACGACGTGTAGCAAAAAAAAGGGAAGAAGTAAACCGTTGGTGGGCCGAGAGCGTAATCGCGTCAAGTACCAACAGGGGAAACCTTTCCTTTATAATTAATTCAACTCGTTCGGGAGGTCACTATTATGTCGTAGCTGATACAAAGGAAACGTACCAAACCTCATTAATACTGTTAGCTTTTCAACGATCCGCCGTCGTTTCGCGCGTATACCCTGCATCACTTTATTTTTCTGTCGTCAAAAAGAGCGAGATTTTCAGAAATATCAGTATGCTATGCAACAGGATGTAAATGTGTGAATTACAATCTTGTTATCACAATTTAGATTAATTCACAATTTCACAATGGCATAGAAATGCCGGCCGTTCAATCTGTTTAACGCGTTCGTCGACTCGGCATATTGACTCGAACAAAATGATCCGCTCAAAAATACATGAGTTTTTTTAGAAACTCGTAGCACATCACACATTTCTTTTTTATTTGAGAGAAGAGAAGAGAGAAAAAAGACAATTAATTAAAAATACAATCAATCTTACATCTAGACTCTTTGCAATAAAACTGCTCTCGTTTGTGTATATGTATGTCATATACGCAGCAAAAGATCCTGTGAAATCGATGGTTTCTTTTCGTCGTCGCGGCGCGTATGCATATAGAGAATCTTAGACTATTCCGACATAAAAATATAACTGATCGCGGGATTCAACCATTAATGTCTTTTACGGATAATCCAACGGATTAAGCGGTGAAAGATCACACGCTTAAATATTTAAACATTATTTACATTTACAACAATCTGAAAGTTACGACGCATTCACTACCATTTTATTCGCACTGAGAACACCCGACGGTCGTTTCTTTTTTTTATTTTCTCATCGGCATCTTGTTGGTAAACCTCTCCTAATCTTAACTAAAAACGTTCGATCTTGGTGAGAATAATCTATGATTTTTTTAAATGTAAGATTAAAAAAAAAAGTAATCTACTTAATCGTACAAAGCACACAATTATTTGACGAATTACTTTTTTTATGTGTACCTAAAGATAAAAAAAAAACGTACTTAGCATTGTGTTCAAATCGCAATAATTGTAACACACTTTTTACGAGGGTCAGATCACCCTTTCGCGAGATCGAAACTCGCTTATAAAGACTTCTTTCAATCCCGCATCGCGGTCGATATATAATTCTAATCGGGACGATCATAAAAAGTTGCTCGAGACGATTATTCAAGCCGAAGAACTCGAATGAAACGTCATAGGAATCTATTCTATGAACAGACGAGATTGATATACCTCTTGAATGCGGCATTAGAAGAAAGTGTTACTTTGGTCATGCACTTGCTATATGGAAAAAACTTATGGCCTCTGTGGGGTGTTTATTAAAACAGCTTTTACCAAAAAGTTCGTGTCCCGAGTGCCGGTAACTCACTTTCGCATCAACAAATCTGAATACGAACTAAAAAAGTTTCTTCACACATACAGTTCATATAAATATAATATTAAAAATGCAAATGTGTGTCACCTCGAAAGTCTCAATCAATCCATCCATAAAAAATATTTACTATATACAAACTGCCGTCGATTTCAACGATTGGCGTTTATCCTTTCACTATACGGTAATCATATTTCCAACCTACAGCCGTCCTGGACTTGTTTACACTCGAATTTGAGGTGCAATGGCCTTTCCAACTTCACGGCAGGTAGTTACTTCGAGCACTCGTCATGTACGTGTATACCATATTTCTACAAACGTACTTAATGAACGACGCGAAAAGCTCTCGTGTAAGCGCTCTAAGCAGCCTGTTTATCGATCAATAGTTGTTAACTGCAACAGCACAAGTACGGTCACAGTTAAGTATTCAGTCTTGAGACGCTTTCATAAAAGCTTTTCCTTCCATTATAAAGCTTGATTTATATTCAAAATTATTATATTAATAGTTAGGTATAGGCACTTTATGCTTTTGAACACCTATGGTTTATGCCAAGAAAAAATATGCCTGATTATGCCTTCATTATGCGCGATTATGTGATTTCGACCTTTCACGTAATATGTAACAGCCCATGACGACTGTGAAATTGTATGAAAAATGAGAAATATAGAAATTGGGCTAGACCTGTATGTAAGACCGTGGTTACAAACATCCGTCGCCCTCAACCGTTCCCCTCTTCCTCCACGATACTTTCGAGATTCTCCAATCGAGAAACTTTTAGGCTGGCTTCCAACCCAGCTCCTGCGGCGACAGAGCGGAGAAAGTGTACAATTTTGAAAAGTGTACGTCGTTTTTCCCCAAATCCGAGTGTTTTAAGTGCAAAAACGGACTTTTTTCGATAATTACGCGAGAACCGCATTATGCTGCGCGGAGGTCTCATTATGTGTTATTATGCGACTGAAATCTGTCAGTACGAAGTGCGTACTATGCGTAACTAATATCAAAATTAGAGCTTAAGAACAATTTTTGACATTATGCTATTATGATCAAAAGCATAAAATGCCTATCTCCATTAATAGTGTCTTGGCACATCGTCTTTCCTAGTACGTAAATATTCTGTTTATACACATATATATATGTATATATATATAGTATTCATGCAATTACGAGCGGTTCGTCATCTGAGAAGCCTCGAATTACCGGACTGTCTTCTTCTTCTGTAAAAGAAAAAGAGAAGAAAGAGTCGTTAGTTTATTTTCATATTGTTTCATTCTTACCCCCCACGTTTTTCCCCACTTTTCAAATGCAAAGTAGCACTGACCTAAACCATCTGTCGTGCCTGGGAAAGTGGCTTGTCCCCGTCTCGTATCGTAGTGGCTATTGGCAAACTGCGTAAAGCTGTTAGATAGCCTCCTATGTCGAACAATGAAATATGCGAGCGCAGCACCGAGCGCTATAACGATCAAACAGATCGGTATAGCGAGAGATAATATGCTCGACGTATTCATTATCACCGGAAGCTGCGATCCTGCGTTAAATAGAAGAAAGAAGAGATTATTATTATTAAAGCACGGCAGGGGCTCCTCACGTCGAAAAGAAATGTTAAAGACATCACACCTGATATCTGCGTGCTCCAAGTTTCGCTCAATGGACTTTGGTAGCCTTCGTTCGTGACCAAACGCGCGGCGAAGGTGTAAATCGTATCCGTTTTGGCATCCTTGTAACGGTAAGGCGGATCTTTGGCCTGCAAGACTTTGGCGGTCGATTCGTTTATTGTTCTCGATCCCTCGGCCACCAAAATTTCATAGTACAGATTGGCATCCTTCCGGATGTTCTCCGGCAAATCCGGTTCTTGCCAATAAATCAAATATTCCGTATTATCGTGTAAGACGGTGAGCTGATGAGGCGGCTTGATTGGCGGCGCTACGTAGATAAACGGTTGCGTGGGTATGGCATTTTCGACATCTGTGGCTATTGTAATACTGTACTTTCCGCCGTACTTGATGGAATTGAACGTATGCTTCATAATGGTTTCGTTAGTCGGTGACAATGTCACAGTTATCTGCTTGTTGAGAATCATTTCCGTAACGGAAATCTGTAATCGGAAAAAAGATACGAGATCGATGAATATTCTCGCTAAAAATACATGTATTTTCAAATTTTTATCAATAAGAGAAAAGAAAAATTTTTGAGAAATTTCTCGTAAGTATAAATCTTTCTCAAAATCTCTCGCAATGTTATTTCCCCAGAGAAATGTTTCGTGGCATTATTGACTTACCGTGTAACTGATCGGTTCGTCAATCGTCGGACAACTCGCGCTCCATGAGACGATTATGCTATCGTTTTTATCCGGCGACGACGTTACTCGCAATCTCTTCGGAGGTGCACGTTTGTTGAAGTGCGTCGTGACCGTAATCGGTTGATTTAAAGGTCCCGCTCCGTAATCCCCAATAACGCCAACGGCAAAGACGTACGATTCACACGCTTCCAGATCCTTGATTGTAGCCGTGAGATTAGTGGTGATGAGTTTATAAGCTAAAAAACGGAAACAAACGATATTAAACGATATACAAACACATCGATTATCCTACCCAAGATATAATCCTAGCGTGAAGAAAATGCAAATGACTTTTAAATACCTTTAAAGAACTCCAACATGTTGGTAGCGTAGTGAATAGCGTATTGCCACTTGATCTTCCTGTTGCTCTTCGGTGGGTCCCAAGTAAGCTTGACGGTCGTTCTCTGGGACTTGACCAATTGCGCGTCGAAGTCAATTACCGTCGGCAGCACGGTGCCGTTCGTCGTGGCGGTCACCATGGCGATCCTACCGATGTACTTCTTCTTCATCGCGCCGACCTCGAAGGTGTATTTGGTACCCGGCGCCAATTTCTTAACCTCCATCAGATTGTCCATGGTCGAGACGGTTTGCAGAGCCGGATACGCTGGCGGTGCTCTGGGAGTGATGTGATACCCGTCCACGTCCTTCAGCTTCTTCCACGTCAAAGTGACCGAGTGATTCGTCGTGGCCACCACACGGAGATCTTCGATGTCTTCGATGTTGGCCGAGCCGTCGAACATCAGCGTGACAACCTTCGACGAGGCAGATTGATATTGCCGGTTCTTCGCCACGATCCAGAAGGAATAATTCTTGCCCGCTTCGAAGCCCACGCGGTCGATGACCGCGGAGGTCATCTTCTGCCAATTGAACTCCATCGGCGGTATCGGCGGCGTCATAAAGCCCTGATATCCGATAATGAGACCGTTGGGACGTATGGGCGGTGTCCAGGCGAGCTCCACACGGCTGCCGTTCTTCTGCGTGACGTTCACGGACCACGGCTCGGACGGCACACCCTCGCCGGTCATCACCACCAGATACTTCGCCGGTGGGAATACGGTGGCCTGGCCCTTCACCTTCACGTAGACCGTCAGATTGTACTTAGTGTACGGTTCGAGTTTGTTGAACGGGTATTCCGTGTCCTCGATCCACTCGCTGGCGTTGGTCCACTTGGCCCCTGGTACCGCCCGCGCGATAGACGGCAAAAACTCGAACGTCACGTTCGACGGTATAGGCATCCACCAGAAGAGGAAGAAACTCGAATCGTTGACAGAGCGCTCATCCACGCCCATCACTAGCACCTGATACACGCGCGAGCCGTTCTTCTCGCAATTACTCTCGTCGAAGCCGTCTAGACAATCGTGTTTGCCGTCGCAGTAGGCCGCCAGCGGGAAGCAGCGGGTCTCGTCGCATGGGAAAAGGCCAACGTAGCAGGACGGCGTGGCAGGTGGGTTCACCTCGTGATCCGTGTGGCAACCAAGCTCGTCGCTGCCGTCCGGACACTCCTCGATGCCGTTGCAGATGCTCGAGAGCGGTACGCACGAGCCGTCTTGACGGCACATGAATTGATCGTTCTCGCGGCACGCGTGCGTCTGCTCGCAGTGTTGCTCGTCCTCGCCCGACGGACAGTCGTTGGAGCCGTCGCACACCCACGCGTTCTCAATGCAATCGCCGTTGTAGCACTGGAACTGATGCTCGCGACAGTTGCGCGGCTGTTGCGTCGTGTGAATCGGAGGCGTAGGATCTAGGCCGCCGTCCACGCCGCCGCCGCAGCCTATCTCGTCGGAATCGTCGCCGCAGTCGTCCACGCTGTCGCACTTCCACCAGTAGGGCACGCATTTCTTGTTGTTGCACATGAACATCCAGTCGTTGCAGGAGTTCATCGATATAGACGGGCTTATCGGTGGTGCGATAGTGGTGATGGTGCAATTTATCTCGTCGGAGCCGTCGACGCAGTCCTTGTCACCGTCGCATGCCCATGATTTATATATGCACCGATGTCCGTTCTCCTTAGTGTTGTTGCATGTAAACTGCCACGACTCGCACACCATGTTGTTGCAGTCCTTCTCGTCGGCGCCGTCCTCGCAGTCTGGCTCGCCGTCGCACTTCCAAGAGGTCGGTATGCACGAGTGATCCGCCTTGCAGACCATCTCGTCGGAGCGACACGTATTCGGTTGAACGTTCTTGGTGCAATTCTGCTCGTCCGAGCCGTCGCGGCAGTCGTCCTCGCCGTCGCAGCGCCAACGATGAGATATACAGCGGCCGTTGTGGCACTTGAACTGCGTCTCGGTGCAATTGGTGTACGTGCAATTCACCTCATCCTTGCCGTCCTTGCAGTCACGATCCAGATCGCACACCCAGTATTTAGGTATGCATTTGTTATCGTCGCATTCGAAGTTATTCGGGCTGCACGTGGCGCGGTTGCAATGCACCTCGTCTGAGTTGTCGCCGCAGTCGTTGTCGCCGTCGCACTTCCAGAATTCGGGGATGCACACGTGGTTGTTGCAGGCAAACTGGTTGGACGAGCAGGTGCTGGCGACGCGCGGGCACGTCGAGTTGGTGTACGGCTTGACACCGTTCGGGCAGAAACACTTGCCGTCCGTCATCACCATACCGTCCGGGCAGAGACAAACGTAGCTGTTGTGCGGCGCGCCCAGGCAGATGTGCGAGCACGTGTTGTTCTTCGCGCACTCGTTCTTGCCGATCTGCACGCTGTGCGCGAAGATCTTGAGATCCATCAGACCCGCGATCTGGAAACCGACTACCGTGTTGATTCCGACCCCGTGATCCTTGTTGGCGATGAATATCATCGACTGCTTCCAATCGTCCCAATACACGTTGTCCTTGAACACAGCGACCGCGAATGGATGCGAGACACGCGCGTCGTTAGCGATGATCTTCTTGAACCTTTTACCATCGAAGTCGGAGGAAGCTATGTAATCCGCTCGAGCGTCCACCCAGTAGATACGTTCGGCGATATGATCGATCGTTATTCCGTTCGGCCATTCGACATTGGGCTTAGTGAACAATCGTTTAACGTCCGTGCCGTCCAAGTTGGCTCGGGAGACCGAGGCATTGCCCGGTGCCCAATCGGTCCAGAACATATAGCCGTTCATAGGATGAACCGCGATACCTCGGGGCTTTTGCAGATTGTTCGGCCCTAATATCGTCCTGCGCATTCTGCCCATAGCAGGTACATCCGTTCGGATTATCTGTATCCTCATCTTAACACCGTCCACAAAATAGAGCACATTAGACACCCAATCGAAGGCCATTCCCTCGACGGAACTCAGATCGGTCTCAACGAGAATCTCGGGATAGCTAGCGCCATCCTTCAGACACTGTCTACCGATTGTGTCGTTTACAATATCTGCCCAGTACAGACAGTTATTTTTCATATCGAATTCGATTGCAATGACATTCTTTAGATCGTGCACAGGTAACGTCTCCATTTTATTCTCCACCAAGTCGATTCGCGTAATGTGTTCTCGTTGGGCGACCAATAAGAATTCCGGCTTCTCGTCCATCGGACATGGGATCTCGTCGGGCTCAAAGTTCCTCGCGAGGCCGTCGGTACAGTCATCATCGGATATCTTCACGTAACCCTTTGTGCGATTATAGAACGCACCGGGCTGACACGTGATCGGCACGGCGTAAGGATCGTGATCGGCGACGCTGGATTTATTGCGAATGCAGTGATAGGGATTCCCGACGCGCATGAAACCGTAATCGCACTGATAATCGTTCGCGTCGCACTGACAGGTTTCCAGTCTCACTGCCCGATCGTAGTTTACGCCCTGGTAGCAATTGGAGCGCGGCGCGCGTCTCTGATACGTTTCCTTACGTCCTAACACGCAAGCCATGACCGGTTGGTCGGTGCTCGACGGAGACCAAAACTTGTAGTCATCCTCCGTGCATTCCCTCTCGAACACATTTCGTAGATCGACCTTGATGATAAGCCATTGATGCTGCCCGCTGTCCGATCCGAACATGGTGAACACCGTGGTGTTTTCTCCAGGCTCCGTCATGAGGCCGTAGACACGTAACATTTTCTCGTTGAACTCGTATGTCTCCCACGTCTCGCCCTCGTCTGTCGAGTACGAGATATCTCTGGTCTCCCCGCGCGATTTGAAATACTTAACCGCCACTAGTAAACCTCCGTGATCGCCCATGTTGAAGAAGTAATAATCCTTCAGTACTTGTTTCCACGTAAGACCGGCGTCTCTAGACACGTAAAGCGCAGGATGACCCTTCAAGCTAGATCCGATCACACCGGTGGCCATTATTATTCCGGGCGCCGATTTCGAGCTCATGATAGTGACGGATCTTGTCACCGGATATAATTGACTGAATCTCTGACTCAAATGTAACGAGCAGTCTTTTGTGCAGTGAATGTAAAAGCCTTCGTGATTCGTCGATGGTGCCTTAATACTGTTCCAACTAACGCCATGATCGAAAGTGATTAATGACTCCAAGTGTTCCGGCCCGATCGAGCTTGATTTCGGGTTACCTTTGACCCGCGACGCTATGTATATACCTCGAAGACCTTCGACCTTATACAGATCCGTGAATGCCTCGTCAGCCACGTCACTACGCAAATAATACAAGGGCGTATAAATACACGGATAAGTCAAGAAAATTTAAAGAGAAAATTAACGAGGAGCTCTCTTATAATCTTATTATCTAAAACTTATAATCTTATTTTCACTATAATCTTATAATCTTATTTTCACGAGTTTCACAGCTTTCATAGTAATAAGTTCGCAAAACTTGTAATTTTATTTTTATAAAATGATTATCCGTTATATTTTGTAACTTACTTCAACCAACTGTCCTTCCAAGTACTGTTGGGGAAAAATGTGAGGATGCTCTCCAGAGACAATGTAAATATAGCTTTCTCGTGGTCTATAACTTGCGACACGTAAAGATTGATCATAGTGTCGCTGTGCGACACAGCGATGAAGACTCGATTGTACGACACGTCTACAATATGATAATCTTTGCAATCCAATTCCGTGTTAAAATGCGCTGGGACAAACGTTTGATTCTTATAGGAGACGTACAGATCCAGATGCTCCGACGTTCCATTCTGTTAAAAAGAATTCAAGCAACGTTCAATGAAAACAAGTAAATTCTAAATCTTATGAGAGATTTTACATATAGCATCGTAACATTTACCTTCGAATTTTTCATAGTGGCGAACATGTAGTCACCTCTGATCTGGAAATTCTCAATGTTTTGAATAACCACGATAAATTCCTTTCGTATAGACATTCTAACTCGCAACGCATTGTTCGCTCTTTGATACCAGGGCAAATTTCGCAGATCCAGCTTCAAAACCGTATTTAGTCCAGTAGGCTCCATGCGTTCAACCAATAGAACGCGATCCGAAGACCAAAAGAAAGCCTTTACGAATTGGTGAATCGGTACCCAGGATGTTCCACGATCGGTCGACAGCCACAACTGAAATTGATGTATTCCAAAGTCAGAAAGAATAATTTTCGACACCATCTTATATTCTTTAAAATAAAATAGAAACGGTATCTATAAATTCAGAATTTAAATAATTGCTAAATAATATTATACCTTCCGCGCTGAATCAACTTTGTCCAGTGCGATGAGCACCCGTGGGTCTAATTCGTAAAACGAGACTTCGCTCGGATGAAACGGCACCGTGACCCTCTGGATTGTTAGACCGTTATTATATGTTATAAAGATTAAACTATTCTGACTGTCCACGAAGACGCACTGCAAAAGAAGAAAAGTCTCGAGAAACGCTCTTTGAACAGCAGAATTGGAAATATGCCCAGGAAATATACGAGCCATTTATTTCGTAGGAAACGCTTTTGTAAAGCGGAACTCACGTGTTGGTAGTACTTAGGATGATTGGTGAATTTGTCCACAACCGCATAATGAGCATTGGGGTCGGACGAAACCCTGAACAGTTCAGTCTTATTCTCGAACGTGTCGCCATAATCGTAACTGATGTACACAGCGCTAGGATGAGTCGGGGAGGAGAATTTACCACCTCCTTGGTAGCGTACCACGGGCGTGCTATCCCTCGCTAGACATATTATTACGTTGGAGCCCTCCCCGACCCAATGTACCATCAATTGCTGATGCGAATCATTTAAAGCATTGACCTGTAACGACGAAGAAACAACATTTTTATCGAAAGGCGTCAAATACCCAGAGACAAACTTATATAACGTAAAAATAAAATAATATTTATCCTACATGAAGTCGCACGAGCCGGCATGACGAATAATGATCGGAGATAAGAGATAACAGATAAGGGGTTCTGATAAAATAAAATTTAAAAAAACAGAGAGAATATATAGGAAAAAAAATAAACACGCAAAACAATCTCCGCAGCCAGTCGGATGTGAGCCGAGATTTATTAGCGGTTGGACACGAGATGCACGTGCGTGTAACTCGACATCTTCAATAAGTGTAATTGTAGACGGATAGATATATAGCGGGAGATGAATCATTGGGTATAACCATTCGCGGAAAAAATCTTGCTATCTCAATCAGCTCACATCCTGTCGGTGGCCGATATCACGTTGCTTTGTTCAATATTCAATGTCACGCGAAATGTCGTGCAAATTCTGAAATGAAAAGAATTAAGCAGCGAATATATAATTCAAGACGCCGTTGCGTGTAATCCAGAAATGCAAATTGAATGGACAAAAAAATTACAGACTCAGCTTTAAAAATCGCACGCGGGGAAAAATATTCCAGGATTTGAAGGTCGATCGTAGTAACGTCAAAAGTGAAAGTTAAGAGCTGTCCGGTTCCTTCTTTTTTTCGTGCAATTAAGGTAGACGAACGACGGCACAAGGATGAAGCGTATCGCGTTCGAATGAAAAGCTATATAATTATATTAATCGAGAAGTTGTATCTGATAAAATATAAACCGCTCGTAATATACAATGAGCTTGCAGAAACAAGATAGTTAATTCTAATTACGTCATGGTACAATTAACTATTGATTAAAATATGCTTATTGCTTATGAATAAGTCGGAGATGAGATGGTGAACGTTAAATAAGAGATAATAAATCTAGCGTGCAAACGATAAGTTCGGAATAATGAAAATATGGGAAACGAAGAAGCGATAGATAATATTGTGATTGTTCGAATAAATCGGAGAGAGTTAACGTTAAAATAAGAGATAATAAATATAACGTGCACGATGAATTCGGAATAAAAATAAGTAAAACGAAGAAACGTAGATAATATGTGATTGTTGCTAACTGATTATGCTTATCGAATAAATCGAAGGTGAGAGAGCAAAAACGTTAAAATAAGAGATAATAAATATAACGTGTACAATAAACTCGGAATAATAAAAATAAAGGAAACGGAAATAAGAAACATAGATAAATAGAAACAATAACTTCCTCCGCCAGTGATTAACCTTCCTATACCCGCGCATTGGTCTGTCAGACCGACGATATACGTTTGCCTTGTTTTTTTTTAAATGGAAAAC